CGCCAGTTATATATTTATACATTTATTTCCAATAATGATAGGTTTGGTCCTCCATACGCATGTGCTTTCACTGCTCCCCGTATTTTATAACATTATCAGGCACCCATAGAAACAACCATAAATAAACTAAGAAGGAAACACTAAGTTTTTGACCTTACCCCAGAGGACTTTAGCTGCTTCTGCTTCTGGTCAATTTTAATGAGTTGAACCTTGGCTTTCCTGAGGAGATTCAACATTCTTTTATTTGCACCAGAAAGGCGGGACCTTTGGGGGACTCCCTTCTCTACGGACGCAGAATGAACACCTTCGGTTCTCTTCTGTACTGGCTTCAGCACTTCTGGAAATCAACAGTAAAATTCTGTCATTTCATTAAAGCTGCACAAGCAAGATATTTMCTGAAYATTTTTACCTGAGTCAAGCCGGGCGGGTTCATTTCCTGCTAGACTGTCCTCTTTGCTTTGATGCAGTATAAGCGTGTTGGGGTCCGTYGTCCGAACGCACACCTTCCTCACCACTCCGGGAGAATCGAGGTCTTCGATTTTGAGCTTGGGCTTTTCTGTGCTCGTGTCCCGCTGTCTCAGACTTATGCTCATGACCTCATCGTCTAGTCCTTCCGCCAAATCCACAGGGGGCTGAGCAGGTTTATTCACAGGTTCAGCCTCTTGTGTGGTCCTGCTCTTTGGAAGTCCCGGGTGCGGCTTCTTCAGCCTCTGATAGATTCTGAGATGGGCTGCTTGCTTGTTGAACTTGGGCGGACTTTTCTTGCTTAGAGCRTCAACGAGGTCCAGCGGTGGTTCTGGAGGTTTCTCCACTGTTGCCGATAAAAACAGATTGTCACATTTGCTCTCTGGGGTTTTGTCCAGTGTRTATAACTCCTCGCTAGAGTCCTCTGGAAGATGCCACTTGAAGCTCGAGTTATTCAGAAGGGACTCTTTCATTTCATTTTTGCCAGACTTTCGTTCAGAAAACAGGCTTTCTGCTAGATCGAGGTTGTCGTCCAGGTCCTGAGCCGAAAACACGTCCACATCTAACTGGGCTTCGCTCAATATGTCCTCCTCGTCAATGGAAAAGATGGGGGATATTGCTCTTTCTGCTTCGTCGTCTCGCCTCTTCGCTGGACGCATCGGCAAACCCAGCTGCAGTCCCTTTTTCGGGGAGTTGCGTCGAGGCAGCACAGACATCCCGGCGTCGTCCATGAATCTCTGCGGGGTCTTGATAACGCGCGAGGATCTAGCGCTTACGACGGGCATGATGAAGTGCTTGATGTTCTTGACGAACTTGGACTTGCCGGGCTGAGCGCTGACGTCGGCTTGCCCCGAGTCTACCGGGGTGTCTACCGCTTCTTGCTTCAAAGTCCCCTTTTCCAGTCCCACTTCCATCAGCGTAGAAAGAATTTTAGGAGGCGATTTGGACCCTTTAGTTCCAATAAGCCGAAGACTCGATTGTTTCTTTTTGTGCTTTTTCTGCACATCAAGGAGCTTAGAGCCTGGAGTTGATGTGAGAGCTGCCAGTGAGCTGGAAGTGTTACTGGCCGCCTTGCTGATACTCTGACCTTTAGGGAATTTAAGTGGAGCAAACTTTCCATCTCTGCCTCTGTGCCTGTGTTTTGGACGCTGCCCTATTAAGTTTTTGCGTCTCTTTTTTACCTTTTTGGTAGACATCTTTAATGTTTTTAAATCACTGGCTTGACTTTCGAACACCACTGACGGCTGACTATCGATTAACTGCATGTCTGGTTCCTCTTTAACTGGTGGCTGCTTTTCTTCCACCAACGCAGTGTCCAGTTTGGTCTCCGGCGTAACCTCCGGCAATGTGCATTCTTTTGTCTCAGGCTGACTTACTTCTACGACTAAAGGCTGAGCAGCTTCCTTTTCAACAGGCTCTACGTTACCAGAATCCACAGCAGTAGGAGTTGTGTCCACCGTCGTATCAGGAGAAACAGCCACCACCTTCTTTCGAACAGACTTCTTTTTCCTTAGCTTATTATTTCTAGGTTTTCTAGGCCTGGAAGGCACAGGTAATGGTTTGGCCTCTTCAGTCTGCGGTTCTACCTTTTTCTCTTCCTCCTGCGGACAAACGTCCGCTGGCAACTGAGCAGGATCGTCTGTAAACTTTAAGGTGTCCTGCTCTGGAACTTCAGAGACRTTTACAGCGGTCACCTGGGGTGGCTCCACAGCCAAAAGGTGGCAAGTGTTTTCGGGAAGAGCTTGTGAGGYGGAATCTTCGGTTGAAACCTGAGACGAAACTTGGACTTGCACCTGTGGAGCCTCTTCCTCCGGTGCACTGTTTCTCAACCTGCGTTTCTGAGTAATCCCCGGCTTTTGACTGACAGGTTTTGTTTGCGGCGATTCGATGCTTGACGTCCGTCTCCTCAGTTTCCTCGTAGGCGTGGCCTCGGCATCCGCAGTAGACGACTTCTCCTCAGGAGCTTCGACYGGCTCTTTAGGGACATCCGCCTTCTTTTCGGGCACAGGGCTAACCTGCTGGATCAAAAACGACGGTTTGGAGCTTTTACGTTTACCGGGCGAGGAGACCTTTTTGATCTGAAGCGGCGGCACAACTTTCCCGCTATCGGTTTTAGTCATTTCTTGGGCAGGTGTCTCGGATGCGGGTTCTACTTCAGCGTGCACCTGGGAACTTGATTTTTCCAAGTCAGCGTTGGTTCGAAGCTCCTTCTCAATACTCGTCACAGTTTCCTGTGACTCTGTATTCTCCTGTTTTGACTTTTTGCCCGGTCCTTTTATATTCTTGGTGAGGCTGGTCACACTAGGAGGCGGCCGACCCGCTGGGCTCACAGTCTCTGCTGGGACTTTGACAGCATTTTTAGTCTCCAGAGTCTGACCTCCTCCTTTCACCAACGCTAACGTCCAGATGTGTTTTCTTCGCTTTTTCTTACGAGATGAGGTCTTCCCACTGGCTTGAGGATCATATTTGGGGTTTTTGATTTTTATTAACTTTAGGCTCGGGACCCTCATTTCCTCGTGTTTAAAAGGTGAACCGTCACTGCTTTTTGCAGCTGAATTGTGAGGCTCTGTGGATGAAGGGTCTTGGTTTTCTGGCACTGAAAGATCTTTGTTTAGCCTCTTGCTTTGCCTCCGTCTTTCTCTAACAGCTAACGGTTTGGCCTCAGCTTTRTCTGAAACTTTTGAAATGGATTCTGTCAGAACAGTGTCAGTTTTATTCAGACATTCTGTTTCAGATACGATGTCAGTGCTTGTTTTAAGGACCAGGTTGGTAACTCTGTTGCTCCGACGTGTCCCTTGTTTAGCCACAGTACCCTGAGGAGCCACTGCTTTCTTTTTCTTTAATTCCTTTGCATTAGGTTTTGTCTCCACACAGCCACTGTCCTTTCCAGTGTCAGTCACTTCGCTCTCTCTGGATTTTTGGTCTTCGACCAGAACTTTGGCAGCAGACTGGCTAACAGCTTCTGCTGTCTTCACAGCAGACCTCCCGCGTCTTCTCGTGGGTATGGTCCCTGCTCCTTTATCCTCCGTGTCTTTTTCGTCCACAAACGTTTCAGTCTTTACTTTGATGTGAGCACTTAAAATCTGGTCGTCCTGAATGTCCTTGACAACAGGCAGCTCCTGCGCTTCTTCTTTTGCCTTCAACTTTTTTGCCGATTTCTTTTGAGGCTCCTTTATAGTTTTTATTTTCTTTTTGGCCACTAACTTTATTGTAATCCTCGGTGACGCTGCTGAAGCTCTGCTTTTCGCGGACTGTTTRTCCGTAGTGTTTTTTCCTTTCGAGGTTTTTGCTGGTTTCGTTTCGGGAGCTGCGCTGAGCGCTTCCTCCACAGCTTCAACATCTTTGACAGGATCGGAGGGGACAGCTGCGTCTTTCGCTGGGATTTTCTTCGGTGGCTTCTCACCTTTACGTTTAGATTTCGTGTTGACCACATCACCTACAAAACAAATAACATCACGTTAAATGCAGGAATAAATAACATTTAAAGATAAAGCTTTCACACAGTGCTTAAGTCCTTCAGTCAGCTGTTATGGGATGAAGTTATCGCTGCATTTACCTTTGGAAGAAATTTGTTGTGATGTCACAATTTCCACTGAGCCTTTTTTGTCAGCTTCAAATCCTTTGAAATCATCCCCCTTGGAAGAGAACAACAGCAGAAAGTAATTAATATTTGAAGCCACTAAACAAGAGTAGGTGATACATATAAAGTACAATTATGACTATTACGAAAACCCAAGTAAAATTATCCTGGATGAAAATAGACTTTTTTTAAGTTCCAACTAAGGGTTGAAATAATGTAAAACATGATGTAGATTTGAACAGTAAAAGCAAACAGTACATGTGCACCTTATGCACTCTAGGTAATAACACACAATGATAAAACGCAAGAGGAAAAAAAGTGTTTTGCAAAGGAGTCCAGTGGTTCAATCAGGGTCACTGGACTATAACTTTTTAAAATTGTGTTTATATTGTCTGTGTTGTAATTTAGAAAGCATTAATAAAGCCTTTATTTGTGACAACCAATATAAGCAATTAATTTAGTCCAATAAATTAAAAATGTTCATGACAAAGCTGACATTTGTGATATCTACATACACCTACATTTTTAGAGCAACACTGAAAGCAACTAAAGCAAATAAATTTTTGGCTTAACCCACTGAATTTAAAAGCAAATCAGACACACGATGAAACAGTTTGACATTGCGCAATTAAATAACCATCTTCCCAGATGTGATACAAACAGCTGTATCCGATGCAGACAGTGATATTAATGTAAACCATACARTTAAAGACGCACCATGTGGCATCAAATTTTAAATTACTAATTGAATGCACTTGATTCACRAATAGTATTTTCAATCAGCAAATATTTGCCAATATTTAGAGCTGCAAAAGTCTGAGGTCTTAACAAAACACACCTGCAGCAGCACCCCTGCTGCATGTCAGTTACATGGTTAACAAATATAACTCTTTGTTTTTGCTGTATTAGGATCAGAACTATTATTAATTTAAAGGATTGTCTGTGGCTGAAGAAATGTCTCATTGTAATATTTTAATGACATTGTGTATGGTACAATAACCATTTTACACGCCATTATGGTACCATAATGCCAGTCAAAGACAAGCTATAAATAGCATAATAACCAGTAATATGTTAATTAGGATCTATATCTAATAGAAAATCATTTTCCACCACATACAAGTTCAGAACTCTATAGAGTTTTTTTTAAACACTTTCATAAGAGAAGTATTTGAAAAATGATGGTTCCGTAATCTGGCTCCTCCTCACAGGTGTAGCAGATGTAAAACCGCGCACAGAACTCCTCTCTCATGAATGAGGAGTAGTAGGCGCTGGTGGCTGCCTGTGTCATTTAAAACTTCAGTTGTACGCGAGTGGCTGCGGCACCCTCCCGCAGCACCATTTAAACCTGACGTGTTTGCTAACACGGGCTAACAGTTAGCCTTTCCATTCTCGCGAAAACCTCCAATCACCTCTGGACTGCAAAGAGAGCTTTCAAAGCCGCAGTTATGTAATCAGCTATCTGACACCTCTATTTCGTGCCGATCGCCAGATTTAACCCCAGTTCGCAAAGCAGTCCACCTCGGCGTACGGAACCAGAACTGTTAGCGGCGAGTGCAGTATGGTGCCTTTCCCCCCCTCTTTGTGTTGCCTATTAGCAGCGGGCTAGCTGCTCTTCTGGCCCTGTAACGAGTGGGCCGTACATGAAAATAATTGCGGCGCATGTTTACAAATTAGCATTTTAGCTTTCTGGCTTTTAAAATAAGTAATTGCAGCGGTGAGCTACGTTTCAGATTTACATTATTTGACTACCTCCGTAGCAATTGGAAGCTCGGTGCTAACGTAACTAAAAACAGCTTTACGGTCTTGATGTTATGTTTTCTATTACGACTCTTCCTTAAATGCAATGGAAGGCTGGACTGTGCTAACAGAAGTTACCATAAAGCTAACATTAGCCTGTGGGATGTTGACATTTCTCCATGACACTAACCAGTCACACTGCCGTGTTACAGCACTTATACGCACGCTAAATTAACTCGTAAAATGGCAGAATTACAAATAAAAATACTAATTATTGGCTCAGAATGGTGCCTTACCTCTTCGCTTCCGCTAGAGCTATAACCAGCTTGTCCGAGGATCTTGTGGCTTGCTTCAATCCCAAGTAGGCGCAAGTGAGACTGGTCTTCGTTTAACGAAGGACCCAGGTTTGCGGGCCTTGGCCCTCCGGTAGTCACATCATCAGCCTCTGAGCTAGATCGCCCGAGTTGCCATCGCTTCTCCGAACGCAAACGAGTGCGTGATGACCAAGGCCGACCGGGGAAACGACCTCTGGCCGTAGCGGTTCCACCTTGGCCTCCTACGGCAGCCGCGGTTGCTGATCCGCATCCCGCTGCCGCCATCATTGCTTCGACAACAACACACCGTCGGCTAGCAGTTCGAGGAGAGACAAGAGGGAAGGCGCGAGATGGGAGGGGGAGGAGCCGCGGTGGTGGATGGGAAATTGAGTTTTTATTTGATGAAGGGTTTCAAAGTTAGAGCGTTTTATGATCCCGCCCCCACAGACAGGCCTTACTTAGATCCCTTAAAACAACTCTACGTTTTTGTTGCATTGTTAATGAGAAAGCTTTAACTCACCTGGTAATTTTAGACATATACTACATAATTACAGAAAACGCTTGCATTTTATTATTGACATAACGCTTCAGATAAATTTTCACTCACTGTAGTTCAGTAGATGGTAGTATATTTTCGATACTACAAAACTATTATGGAAGAAGAGAAAAACAACTCATATGCAAATTTTATTTAATGCTTTTTCACTCTATATAAAATTACAGATTAATAATAAGTGCATATAATAATTTTGGAGTAAAAAAAATAGTGTGAAATTTTTGTTATGAAAGTGGTTATTTTATATTTAAATATTTAGTTTAATCGTTAGGTTTTTTTCCCCCTAATGGACATTTATACAGTGTATTGCTCAGGCCACCGTACTTGTGCCTTATCTTTATCTGGACACTAGAGGGCAGTGGGCAGTTCAGACTAGCATGTGGCTTTCCCATAAAAAAGACGAAGGGCGACGAAGAAGAAAAAGAGGGATAGGCGGAAGTGTCCTTTGTTTATCGATAGCTTATTTCGCTTAGAGTTAGAGTAAAAGTACCAGGTATGTTATCACACTGATGTGAAGTATAGTTTATTGTTGGACGTACCAATAATTGACTTTACCCTGAATCTAGGCGCTTTATGCCTCTCGAAACAGCTGGGAAAATGTGCTGTGTGATGCTAAGCTAAATAAATGCTAACGTTAGCCTGAAGTGATTTTTGAGTCACCTGACGGGGTGGATTCGGCTGGTATTGTTTAGTTTCATTTTTTTTACATTTTGTTTAGTAAAAAATACTTCGCCTGAATCAATCTAAATTAAAAGTTAGTAATTTATTGAACACAAAGACTGTATTTTTTGTCTCATGTATTGTGTTAGCTGTACAAAAAAGCTGATTTTCGAAGTCCTGAATGCAGTCCTGACATTATCCGTGTTACGTTTTTGCAGCGATCTCCCTGCAGGCTCACGATGAACCTGGAAAGACTTCCCAACGAGGAGAAACTCAGCCTTTGTAGAAAATATTACTTAGGTGAGACAATCATGAAAACAGATATTTACTTTCACTGCTTGACTTGATGATAAACACATGTAATGACAACGTTAATAAATGAGATGTTTTCCTCTTTTCAGGTGGTTTTGCCTGTCTTCCATTCCTGTGGCTGGTGAATGTTGTTTGGTTTTTTAGAGAGGCCTTTTTGAAGCCAGATTACACTGAACAGACMCAGATTAAAACATGTGAGTATCACATTTCTTACAGTACTTGTACAGTGGGAAATGAGCAACTGGTTTTCACTGTTGTTTTTGCTTTTACTGCAAGAATCACATTGTTATCTAACCCTTACTGATTCACACAAGAGCTTTTCTATAAACACTTACGCATTATCATTCTGAAATATTCCTTCTTACATTCTCACTCTTTGAATAGAGTAACAAATAAATAATTTAAMCTAAACAAACTTGCACACTTTATAGTTTTTCTGTGTATATTTTTTGTGCTAAACTACATTTAATTTGTAGTCAGTTGTTTACAATTTAACAGGTCATTAAATACTTTCCTCCTTGGCACAAACATTTTGCCAAAATAATTGTTTGGTGGAGATTACGTAAAACATTAGGTTTATTTCAACAAAAAGAACAAATTTAGTTTTACTGTTTTAGACACGCTTACTGTATACATAATTTTATTTAAAGTTTCTGAAGTTTAGAAGTGTGTGTCAGATGAAAGCTGTTTTATTGTATGGTTAAATTTTCCTTATTTTATAACTAGAGCTTGTGTTTTTGTTATTTTTTTTAGATGTAAAGCGATCAGCACTGGGCCTGTTGTTTTGGGTCACGGTTCTGACGACGTGGATAACCGTTTATCAGAACTTCCGAGCGCAGTGGGGGGAGGTGGGCGATTATTTGTCTTTTACCATTCCGCTGGGCATTCCTTAAGGTGTTCCTCGAAGATTTTACTCTGAACTAACCGTCTGCAGTCATGGAAAAAAGACTTTCACTTCAACTTAAGTGGAAAAAATTGTCAGTCTTTTTGTAATCACTAAGAGCTTTAAAACTTTGCTGTATAACTAACAAATTATTTAGATTTTTTTAAAGTATCTATGTTCTTTGTTATTAGAGGAGGCAAATTAATTAGTGTAATAGAATGTGATGATGATGATGCTGATCTTTTCATTCTGTAATCTAAAATTGTTGCTTTTGTGTGTGATTGTGCTTACCTAATTCTTTTAACATGATATTGATAAATAAAAAATACTTTCAAGCTACATTGTCTTTTAATCTTTGTACAACATCCCAAATTGTTCAAAGTCAGTGTTGCACGCTGTTCTCTGAAAGTGATCAATAGTCTATTTCTGCCATGGAAATTCCTTATTTGTTATGTGTCATAAAGTCCAGACAACCAGTGGCGCCAGTTATGAAACCCAGTAACTTAATCCCCCACCCCAAATGTCCCCGTTATCCTGCATGAGTCAGAACATAATCAGTGCCAGTTTTAGTCCCGGATGAAGTGACAGGTTTAGCGTTGCTAACAGGAGCAACATGTSCACATACCTGCCGCATTCACCACAGGAACAGGAAGCATCGGCACATGAACTACTTCTAACACTTCAGGAGACCTCATAAAACCCATTGTGTACTCTTATAAAATACTAAAGTTCAAATTTTGGGGAATATACAGTGGGGTGACCAAACCTCAAACCTGAATGAACTAGAGATGTTTCATAAAGAAGAATGGTCTAAAACACTGTTTCCCAAAGTTGGGGTCGGGACCCAAAGTGGGGTCCCGAAACATCAAGGTGGGGTCCTGAAAAGATTTTCTGAATTACATTTTTGCCTTAGTTGTTACAAAGGAGTGAGGTTAGTGTATTTAAAATGGATGAATGTAGTTTAAAAATATTGTTACTATGCCCATGTTTTGTTGAACTGATACAAATGTTTATSATCCAAAAATAGYTGGGGKCACAKGTCTCTGCTGCTGTTATTTTGTGGGTCAAATGCTGAAAAGTTTGGGAACCACTGCACTTTTGTTCCCAAAGTTGGGCTTGGGACCCAATTATGGGTCATGAAGCACCTTGAATAATCTCCAGAAATCATTTTAAACGGTAATAAAATAATTGCTGCTGTAAAATTTTTCCTATATCTATTACAAAAACACAAAATAAGTATAACAAGTATTTATATTTATGTACAAGCTGTTAAGACTGTCAAAAAGCCTGTGTTTTTTTGGGTTATTAACAAAGTTTTTGTACTCAGACCAGTAATTTTTGGGGTCACAAGTTTTTGCCATGAATATTTTGTGGGTCAGAAGATAAAAAGTTTGGGAACCACTGTTCTAAAATACCTTCAGCCACAATCCAGACTCACATTAGAAGCTATAGGAAGCATTTAGAGGCTGTTATTTCTGCGAAAGGGGGATCTACTAAATATTGAGTTAAGGTTTGTTTGGTTTTTGTTTTTTTTTGGTGCCCAAATTTATTCACCTGCCACTTTTGTTTAACCAGTTATTGCACACTTTCTGTAAATCATATCAACTTCATTTCACTTCTCAAATATCATTGTTTTTGACCCCTATATGATATATTTTACTGATTGTTTTTTATCCAAACAAWCAATGATTTATAAAGGTAAATCAGGAAAATTAACAAGGCTGCCCAAACCTTCGCACCCCACTGTAATGTAGGTAATGCTCCTTTTATTTTTAGAGAGTGCCCTCTCACCTGTTCAGTTATTCARTGTCAAACATTACTTGAAGGAACATATTTTACTTTGAGAAAAGGCCACATAACATCATGAGATGTTCTGTTCGGAGCATGTGTTGTGAAAGACTCATCTACTACCACACTCAATTTTAGCTCTGTAAAACTGACTGAGTTTTACCCAACGTATAAGAAGAACGTAAAAAATAGCTATAATTGAGTCACTTATTAAAGAAAAAAGAGGTGTTTGTGGTTTTTTTTTTTTTAGCTGAGAGTCATTCACAACACATATTCAAAATGTATTTTGCTTAAACCTTTAGCATTACCTGTTGGGGTCAACTCTACTTTTCTGTTAGCAAAATATCTTACTAGACAGACTGTTATGAAACTTAAAGAATCACGACGGTCGCTACAGCTAAATGACATTAGACAGAACTAAAGTGGATATTTCCTGAGTTTCATTGACATCTATCCAGTTGTTTGTTAGCTATCTTGCTAACAGACAAGACTTGACCTATTCATGACAAAAACTTAATCTGTTTTAGCACTGAAATATACGGAGCCCGCCGGGGGTCAGTGGTGAAAAAAGAAAAACAGCCGCCGGAAATCCGTGCGCACACACTGTTTGCTACTAAAACAATGATTGTTAAACTGAGTTGTAGTCGTTTTTTTTTTTTTTTTTTTTTTTTCTGTGTTTGATTTTTTGAGGTCAGAGATCATGGGGTCATTTAGTTGTGGCACCACCTTGATAAGGTAACATCAATTTGTAGAGGAACGTCCTTCACACTTTCTGAATGTTTTCATTAAAACCCATTCAGTGGTTCATAAAATGTGATTACAAGTATGAGTTAAACCAAGATAGCCCCGACCCTACTTTTTTTTTTTTTTTTTATGGAGGCCCCAGCCACGTGTGTTTATAACGTCTGTTTCCAGAGAGGCTGGCAGCAGCTCAACACGGTCYGTGTCTTCAGCTTATTTTTGGACGGTCCATAACAACCCGCCTAAAGCGTTAAGCCAATAACAGCCCTGGTGAATTATACGCCAATAACAAGTTTATATTTGTGTCATCGACTTTATAATAAAAACAGGTTTCAAAGCTCAAGAATAGCTCATAAACACCCACTCATAAGACCCTCCCGTCCAACAGCTGCGTCATTCCCAAACCTGCATTCATACGTCCATGCCAGGACACCCAAGGGGACAACGTTTAGGACATAACAGAGGCCATGTGTCCCCAGGATGAATTCCCCACTCATTATGTAACTCCAGTTTTAAAAACAGACCGTAACAGTCAGTGGCATCCAAAACACTCCGAGAGGGCAGCAGCAACAAGAGGGTTATCCTGTTCCCCTTTACTTTCACMGGAGGATTGAATTTAAACAGGAGGTGAGTTGCCTTCTGCCACTTTTCTCAGGTCCTCAGCTGCAGTCTACTGAACTCTCTTATTTCTCTACTGAGCAGAAATGGAGTTTATTGTGCCACCYACTGTGTTGACTACTGATATCCCCTGGGAGAAGGTTTTACCACCACTCGTCCCTCGTCTAAACGGGACGTATGGTTATTATAACTGGTCACCGTCGTTACTGATGCCGGAGAGCAACAATGGTAGCACCTCTGCAGAGGTAGGTCAGAAAGGAGCCTGAATTGTGTGTCCGATTTGAAAGTTAGATATAGGCCATTTCACAGTTTTGTTTTTTAAATATTGTAGTCCAGATTTTAACTTTTTAAAAGTATTGTGGCTTTAAAATCTGACCCGTCTGTAGTTGGGGGATATTAAGAGACATACAGTTGTTCACTTTTTCAACTTTCACAAATTAAAAAAATGTTTTCCAAAAATAGAAACTTTGAAATTATGTTTAGTGTAAACTAAAATGCTTAGGGGAAACATTATGAAGAACAAGGATGATTATATTTGACCTTTTCAATTAATTTTATTGCTTTTAATCATAAATTTAAAATAGATTTAAAATCTATTTCTATTTTTTTTTTGTCAGACCAGATGGAAGTCACCCGCAGGCCGGATGTGGCCTGCAGGCCACCAGTTGAATAGCCTCTGCATTATAAGATTTTAACCTATTTTAACTTTCACAAACAAGTAATTTCAAACTGTTTTAAATAATCTCCTAAATAAATAATCACCTAAATGGTTAGGGGTCCTTTTTATGTGTTTTACTATTATTTATATATTTTTACAGTTTTATTGTTGTAGTGATTTGTTTATTTTTTGTGATTTGGACTTGGAGTCTGCAATAAAATCTATCTATCCATCTTGTACTCCGTAACATAATTTAGATAAGGTTTGAGTCGTTGTTTTAATTCTGAACCAGTTGTTTTAAGATGTAAAAAAAATCCATCAAATTTGTGGGCATCAAGGTTGAGTTCAGCAACTTATYCAAATGTATAAAAAACATTGTCTTAAAATAAAACAGCTGTCATTACTTGTACTGATATGGTGCATTACAATGAATTTCAATTTTTCATATATTGTATAGCCCTAGTGGTAAGCCTKTGTTCATCTTTTCTGGTTTAAAGGTTATCCTAAGTCAGATAGCTTCATCTTTGTCAGATAACAGTGTCTTATTTTTACCAGTTCTTGCTAAAAACACATTTATAATAATTTGTGGCCAATATATTTTCTTTTTAAAGGGGAGTTAATTACAGCATTAAATWAGTTTTATAATGACTGCTTTTTAATCGTTCTGCCTTACTGGATGTTGGCAGGTCTCCTGTGATGACTGTGGATTTACGGTTCAGGTTGATGTAAAGCAATTCAACCCACAGGACCTACTGGTCAAAGTGGTGGGAGACTTTGTGGAAGTGCAAGGAAAACATGAAGAACAAAAGGTTCGTATGCTCAAAGAAACACTGCTGACTTGTTTCMCAGTATATTCAGAATAACTACCACATGAGCCGTCATCTCATCTTGCATTAAATCTTTTGTTGTTAGAAGGACGGTCCAGGCTTTACTTCGATGCAGTTCAACCGGCGCTACAGAATCCCAAAGGGAGTGGACACCATGGCTCTGGAGTCGGCCGTCTCCCCAGAAGGCATTCTTGTCATATCTGCTCCGATGCTGCAAACTGAAAAGATCAGACCCCTGACTTAACTCTGCCGACTTTACCATATAAGAAAATGAATGAAGAGAAGCCATTTTGAACACACACAGACAGAAACAGGCTCCTGCACTCACATGACACACCTCGCGTGCCAAAACACACATTTGTTTGCTTTGTTTCGTTCTTGGCACCATTCTGTTTCCCTGCTCTCTGTGGTTTGTACATACTGCTCAGCTATTTTCAACCTGACAGCAATTCAAGAAACTACTCTTTGTAAATAGTCTGTGTTTATAGTTTAAACTGTTTTTTATTTAGTATCTTCTGTGTTAATGACCTGTAATGTGATTGGAATTAATGAACGCAGGTACACTGTATCTCCAATCAATTAATGTGGAAATCAGATATAAATAAATTTTATTTCTTTATAAAATAATAAAAAACAAGTGTGCCCTTCATATGTTCAAGTAACTTGTTACTCCTTCAGGAATTCATTCAGGATCACGTCCACTTCACTAAAAACAAAACAAAAGAGAATATTATTGAAGATATTGTTTTTACATTACTTAAGTTCTAAGATTCCTAAAATCAAAATGAGATTTTATATAGACCTGTAAAAACAAGTGATTCAAATAATTATTTATAAACATGCCTRATCTGATCTTTGACCCATTTTCTTTGTTGGCGAAGAACTTTCAGCAGAGGATCATCTTCAAACTCCTTTTCATCAGAATCTGAAACAAAATGACATCATGTAACCAGCAGTGGTGAAATATGACCACAGAATTAAAACAATGTTTGGGGGGGGGGGTGGTGGTTGCCAGTTCTATAAGAAAACTAGTAAAAATTTAAAAAGGCATAGCATTAAAGGACCAGAGGCTCAGACTTAAATCATTTCATGTTGAGAAAAAGGCAAAGTTGCAGACATTTTGGTCAAACTTTAAAAACAAAGTCATGCGCGATCTCGTGGCAGAATGTCACGTTCAGAGGACGACTCTCGGCTCCAAACTCACCTTCAGCTTCTTGAAGCAGCTGTGAAATGACTTCCAGAGAGTTGTGTGAAGGAAGTGGAGGTTGTGAGGAAGAGGAGGCCATGTGAGGAGAAGCTTTGGAGGTGGGGATCTTCTGAGGTGGAGATGAAACTGATGCTGGAAACAAAACTTCTGACACCACCTGGTAAAGCCAAGASAGAAAAACTCGTCTTTACCTGCTGGACTGTTCCTGTATTGTAGAGGTTTGTCATCTATAAACAGGTGTTGCTCAAAATCTTTATAAGCACCACACCGTAGACGTTTTTGCATTGTAAGGCTCAGAGTGTATATTATTTCCATCAGGTAACAGATCTTATGAATCTCACTCAAGATTTCTTGGTAGAAGTGGTTCTATAAAAAATGAGATCCAGTGTTCATTTCAAGTAATTACTGTGTCCTGTCTTATGAATGGACAGATATGAACAATCTAGGGAACAAAGTGACATTTCTATATTACTTTGATGTCAAGCTGAAGCACAGATGATGAAGATTTATAACAAAGGAGTCACCTTGACCTATGAAATCAACAGGGATTATTCTTGACCCAGAAAACATTCAGAAGTGCAGGTTGACATTTCTGTTAAAGGGTTCTCAATTTAGAGTTTGGACTAGAAACTGTCCAAACTAAACCACAGTGACGTGCGGTCACTAGAAGCAGAGCCTCTCCTTTCATCATGGAAATTAAAAAGAAAAAAACAATATTAATCCCATTAAACTGTCATATTTATATAATGCTTTGTGGTATAAACACATTTTCAACTAGAAGCACTTACAGAGTGCAAACCTCCGCTAAGACCAATTTCCCCTATCCAACAAAAGGCTACATGAGTTCGATGCCCATCGCATGACGCTGAAAAACAGCGCTTCTGTCCCACAAAGCCCAATGCACCCAACGCGGTGCGTTGGAAAAAAAATCCCCCCATGTCCCCTCGTGGGCTCTGTACAAATGAGCTGCAGTTTGTGTAAAGAACACTGATATGAGATRTGAGACATAACTCATTAACTTCTGCCAGTCTTATGGTGAATAAGTTGTTCTGTAGGTTCATATATTTGTAACTCTGATTCTGATGAAATGAGGGCCTCACCATCCATGAACCTCACCGTACGTCACTGCTAAACCATAATATGTCCCGTCTTAGGACAGGCGTATGAAATCATGATAACTGGACTGTACTTATACAGCACCTTTCTATCCAACCAGGATACTCAAAGCCCTTCACTCTACAATCTGTGTCCTGATTTACCCACTCACACAGCTCTAACAGATCTCACTACAAAGCTAATGCAGGTGAATCAGTCTATAGAGACTGATCAGTGCTTTAAATCCCACTCATACACTGATGGGACACATCAGAGGCAGTGGGGCTTCGGTTTCTTCCCCAGGGACACTTCGACATGTGACAGAATAGCGGGGAATCGAACCGCCAACTCTCACATTAGAGGAACGACTCCCCTAACCACTCTGCCACAGCCGCCCCGGTTGGATTAAACTGGGGGGGGGGGGGGTCTGCAAATACAAAGAACTAGATATAAAACTACATTTACAATGGAGGAAGAGTTATATATATATATATATATTAGCTTAAACATACGGACCTGTCCTAAAGCAGAGTGGACTGGAGAAGGTGGTGATTCATGTTCAGTAGGAAACTTGCGGCTTTGGTTCTGTTGATGCTGCTCTTTCAATGATGCAACCTTTTTTGGAGGATTTTGTTGAGAAGTAGTCCTGTTTGGATAAAATATGTTCACGATGAATAATGTTTGCATTCAGAATTGATTAGTGAATATTATTCATGTTTTACTGCATCACCTTGGTGATTTTCTGTGCTGCCTGGTGGACGGGGCTGTTTTCTTTCCTGACTCTAAGTTCTTCTTCCTGTTCTTTTCAGGCACTTTTTGCTGACCATGCACTTCTGCTTCTACAGTTCCCAAAGCTGCAAGTGATGAGGAGTTTGTTTGTTCTCCGCCRATGATGCCAGGCGAGTCTTCAGGAATTTGGGTTTTCTTGTGGACCACTTTAGTCTGAGGTTGGTCTGACCTTTCTGAAACGCTTTGCTTCTCTTTAACGTGAGACGACTGGATGGGGCAGGGAAGGACATCACAGAGGAGATGCCTGTGGGCAGGAACAGGAGCAAGAGTCTGGGTTTGAGACACTGGAGAGCCGGAGACGACAATGGGTGGGAAGAGTGAAGGACCTGGAGATGGGTCAGACGGTCTGTGGGACTCTCTGGTTTCAGGTTGGRGAGTTGTGATATCTGGGTGAGCATCTCTTTGTGGGAACTGAGGAGGCTGTGAGCCCTGCTGCTGCTAAAGATTAGGCAAGAAAAGGAAAAGACATGCATGGTGTAAATCTGCATCTTCCCACTTAGCAAAACATTGTTTCATAAAGTCCAGTTCCAACCTTGGAAGGTTGTCTGCTGGTTGAAGGTTGGATTAAACTGGGGRTCTGCCAGCTGAAAGCTAAATCGTGACAACTGGAATGTTGCACCGACTGGGAAAACTCCCTGGCTTGCTCCATCTTTCTCCTTAAACGCCACTGAAACAGAATGTCGTCCTCTGGTCGTGTTGGAGGTGCCAGAGCAGGGATGACAGTTGTTTGGGAGGATGAAGCATGAACCAAGTTTGAGATGACATCTGTGGGAAACAAATCTTTGTGTCAAATCTGGGAAAATAAGTAGTCTTTTGCAATAACATAAAAAAATTAGGAGTGCACCGATTGCAGTTTTCTGGCCGATCACTGATTTTTAAAAGTCTGAGCAGCCGATTCTAATTTTGGCCAATATAGATTTTTTTTAAATTACTGACTACGCCTGTCATGATAACTGATTTTACTGGACAATAAATTGTCTCAGAAATTATTGCAATAAACAATAATATTGTTGGAAACCAGTTTAAACTAATATAATTATATAATTCCCCTGTTTACAGATGTTTACATTAATCTTTAAAAATATTATATATAATAATATATCATTTTATCAGTCTAAATTATTGAAATTTTATGAATTGGTTGATTATAATATTTTACAGATTATGTATAAGGCTCATAAAAATTTATTACCTTTAAAAATCCAATTAAATTTTGTTAAGAGCATAAATAATTATAATCTTAAGGGACTAGAGATGTTTGTAAAGGCTAAAATTTGAACAAATTTGAAGGACTGGTGTACTTCAGTACAAGGAATAAGGCTGTGGAATAATCTGGAAAGTGATTATAAAAAATGTTGGCTCAATAAATTTGATAAAAGCTTTAAAAATATGAATTTCTATAATGTGCGTTTATAAGAACTGTTGTTCGAGAAGCAGTTGAAGTTTTTTGTTGTTTTGTTAACTGAAGATTATAATAATCATTCAAAGT